GTTCAAACGCTGCAGGGACAGGAGGCAAAGCTCAAGGCGCAGTTGGCCAGATTCCAGCAGGACATTGAAAGGTAGCTGGCCTCAAGGCGTATCTCTCTTCTTTTTTTTTTTTTTTTAATTTGTAAGAAAGTGAAATTTTATCGCTTACAGTTTCTGAGGCCGGGAAGTCTGATGTCCAAGGAACACATCTGGGGGTGCTGACAGTGACCCCGGGGTCTCACGTTGCAAGATAATGGAAGCAGAGAGAGCCCCGGGGCAGATATTTCTGTTGAGCCCTCCTGTGGGCTGGACACTGTTGTAGGTGCTGAGAGTTCAAAACAGCAAAGCAAGTCCCTGGCTTCACACTCTTTTGGGAGAGAAAGACAGTAAACAAGAGACAAATAGAAATAGAACATCATGCCGTGAGAGGGAGGTGTAAGAAAGCAAGCAGGCAGGGGCGAGGAGGCTGTGCATCTGGGGCCTTTTGGATGGCGGACGTTTTTCCGTCTGTCATAGGAGCCATGAAAGGGCTCCCACTGTGTGATCCTGTGTTAGGGATCGCCTCTGTATGTCTCTTGCCTGTTTTGCTAATGTCTTAGTGTTTTTTTTTTTAAATCAGTTGGAATGAACACTTACTCGAATGAAAATAATATAGGTTGAGCATCCCTAATCCAAAAATCCGAAATCCAGAATGCTCTAAAATCCAAAACTTTTTGAGCGCCGACATGGCCACCGTGGGAAATTCCACACCTGACCTCATGTGACAGGTGGCAGTCAAACCATAGGTGCACAGCACACAGTTTGTTCAGTGTCCCCAAGGGAAAAAAGACCTTTCAGCTGCCATATCTTTTCCACCAGCTACCACAGATTATCCACGTGGGTGACTGAGACAGTGATGCCTTTGCTTTCTGGTGGTTCAATGTACACAGTCTTTGTTTTATGCACAAAACTGTTAAAAATATTGTATAAAGTTACCTTCAGGATATTTGTTGTATTAACCAATTTTGTGTTGCTATAACAGAAATACCTGAGACTGGGTAACTTATAAAGAACAGAGGTGTATTTGGTTTATGATTTTGGGACAGCTGCACCTGGCACAGACCTCAGACTACTTCTACTCATGGCAGAAAGTGGCAGGCAGCCGGAGGGTACAAGCAGATCACATGGCGAGAGGATGCAAGACAGAGAGAGAGAAGGTGCCAGGGTCCTATAAACAACGAGCTCTCACGGGAACTAATAGAGCAAGAACGCACTC